ATGCCAGTCCACCGCCACCAAAAATTTCACCGCAACAAGAAGTGGTGCATGAAACTACAGAATTCACTAAAACAGTGGATATTTCGGATTCCAGGTATGCATTACACGACATGTTATACACATCAGCTTTCCATTTACTTTCACGTCTTTCACCGGGTGCACATAGAAATCAGTATCAACGCCCAACGACGAGTAATGGCGTCATATTTGTTATATCAATTACAGTCTAAGGTCCAGTGAAAGCAACCTCCCGTCGATCGATCGGTTGTCTACGGAGGTCAAAAATTTGTCGAGGTGTCTAAACTATCTTTGTAACAATGTGGTGGTGCTGAATGAAGATTTCAAAGCAGTGCTGGGCAAGATACACAATCCATGTACATCTGCTTGTCAGCCTGACAGGAAAAGAGCATCAAACATATAACAACCAAGTTATCAAACCCGGAAACAAGTATACAAAAATAGAGTCAACAGATAATAGAGGTAGGAACCAGCAAAGTTTTACCAGTGCACGCTGTTGTTCTAACTGCGGACGACTATTTGCTATTACAAAACAAATTACAAAATAAAGCTATATACGCACATCAGTTGAGGGTAGGACTTGCTTGCAACATCTATTTCGGTTTTCTGATAACATTAAACAATAAAAAATACCTATAGTCAATCCTCCTCCTCACAGATGGTTATAAAGAAAACCACCAGCCGTTGGAAGATGAGTGCTTTTAATTCTGTATATAATTACCCTTCGAATAAAATTTGCATTATTATTATTTTGTTGTTCTATTTGAATTACAATTGCGGTACCTGTGTGGGTACGTGTGGTTTGCGCAATTAGGATGCGTCTTCATTGTGGAGAAGGGTTATGCGGCCGTGAGATATGGATTGTAGCTGGTTAGGGTAGAATCAGTAGGTATTCCATTAGTTTGGCGCATCGACTATCACTGAGGTTTAAAGCAAATCTGGAAAAGGGGGCTATAATTTTCGATTGGTAGAGCTCGGCTTATTGAGTGTCCGCTTGAGTATCCCCTTGGAGGTTTTAAAATGAACACTCAGGGGTATACCTTTGGTACGTTCCAGAGGACACTCGTTCTACTTGGTGTCTCACCGTTCGTGGATGCTGTCATTTCCATCCGAAATTGAAGAAGGCACTTGTTTTGTGTATCCACAAGATCGAAATATGCAACCCAAAAAGCGTGACTGTGTTTGCCGTCACCCTATGAATATCCAGGAAAATATTAAGGCCCTGGAAGGATTTGCAGTTCCCTGCTGTAGGTGTAAGAAAACCATTTATCTTCGGAAAGGAACATTCTTTGAAAGTTCGAAGTTATCATTGTGCCTGCTGGTGGAGTTAATAGCATATTTTGTGCTGGAACTTCCCGTCATGCTTGCCGGTAGCATGTGTCGTTTATCCCAAAAGTGAACGATACAGTGGTACATGTTCTGCCGTGAAATATGTTCTCACAAACTGCTTTCACTCAATCAATAACACGGTGGTCCATCCAAGATCGTCGAAATTGATGAAAATGTTATGAACAAATGCAAATGTTGACGCCGAAGACCATCCGAAACTGTTTGGGTTTTCGATATGTATGACCGTTTCTAACGGAAGGGAATTTTTCTAAAAGGTGTACAATCGATCGGCAAGCTGCCTATTACCGATAATCCAACGATGGATTATGCCGGGATCCATCATTTACTCCGATGAGTGAGCCGACTATAGAATACCGTCGTCCTTTGGGCACACTCACTTAACGGTGAACCATTCCCGAGGATCAACCAAGCGACAGGTGTCCACAGCAACAAAGTGGAAGGATTTCGGTGTAGGAAAAAGAGAAGAATGAAAGCAGTTTCCGGCTCCATTGGTGACCGGAGGTGGGAACACTTCGATGAAGTTCAGTACCGCTACTGGTTTCATTTCTCTCCCTTAAACATTGAAGTGGATATAGAAATTTTTTCAACACATCAGTGAGCGCTAACCGATCGCCTAGGGTGCATATTTATACTTTCGAAGTATTTTTACTTTAATACATTTTTATAATCACTTCTCCGTATTCTGTTATGAAATTAGAGGCCTTCAAGCAGCGGAACGGCGCCTCGGTAACGGAAACACCGCTGCTGCACCTATGCCACAACACCAACTGTAGGGGTAACGGGTGCAAATTGGAAAAGCCCAAGGCAACAAGGAGTATTAGAGCCCAGTTCTTTTCGCACCGGGTGTAGAGGCGTGGAACCGGTTACCACAGCAACTGGTTGCTGCTCGTAGTCTTGGGGTTTTTAGGCACNGACGAGGAATGGTCAGGTATATTTCCCGACGATAAATATGAATAACAACCTGGGACCATATACTCAATTCCCCGTTGGATACCCTAGGTTGCTGACCCTGAGCAGGTGAAAGAAGCATCTCGCCCTAAAGTACTTTTCTTCCGTAAACATTCCAAGCCTTACGAAGACCAAAGGAGACAGGAGAGGACGGGAAGCCACATGTGTACCTCTTACTAGCACGTCTGTGAGACCTAATGGCGGCAGGAAACTGATGCATCTATACCTCACAAACAAACAGCAACCCAGTGAAGTGTGTGATCCTCTCCTCCGGATTTCAATAGGTGAGTGGTAGGAGACCTGTAGTGGGTGGAGTTGGGGACAACAAACCCAATTACGACTCACCGAGGCATCCACTTCTCCGACTGAGCAACGGCCCTATGCCCACTGCGGACCTGAAAGAGAGAAAGAGAGGAGAGAGAGAACGAANACGAACAACAAACGGTGGGTAGAGGTTCAAATGGAATGAAAAAGCACGCACCTGCTTCGACCAATAATGGATCGCAGCTCGGTCTGGTAGATGAGGGAACAGAGAAGGTACATTCCAGCCACCACCATCCTGCTAAACCGAGTTAGGCTAGGCCCTGAGTGGAATGCAGCGAATGCGTCCTGCGCTTGGAACCTGACAGGGTCAGAGATGTTACCGTGATGCAGATAAACTCAGAAGGCTTAATAGCCAGACAGGTTCCTGACGAATACCACCAACATATGACCCGATGCTCCAGTAATCTGGAAGCCATCGGGTTTAAGTTTGTTGATGAATAGGAAGATGTCTGTGATTTTCCCACGTGAGAGTGTTTGAACGTGTGTGTAGTTGAAAGATGAACACAGGAGGCGCGGAGTCACAGATGACTGGAAGAGTACATGGGCAGCTCAGACGACACTCCCTATGACCTACTTAATCAGCTTAAACGAGGACACCTCAAAATGCTTCCACCTACCATACCTTCCACAACCTATCACTTAACTCATTATTATAACTAGGCTCCACTTGCACCCCACCGAGTACATCCGAACACACCCGTAACTAGGAAACCGTCTAGGGTATATGATCACTTCACCCCAATAACCGCTCAGCTAGGTGCATACCTAGGCTGTGGATACTCATTATTCTTTCTTTTTCTACAGGTATTTCTTATCAGCAATAAACTATATCAGCTGCGGAAGTAGCAACCGATCCGGAAAGTTCAGGTCAGGTCAGGTTGCACGGGACTGAATATGGCCACAGCAAATCCAGCGTCCGAAATTTCTTTTGATGGTATCTTCACTAAGTGGGCACTCACCTCAGCTGAAATACGAATGAGAAATAGGATCTCATCTCATCAAGTTGGCGAGTGAACTTTTAGACGTGAGCATTCCATGACGTGTACCAGTAAAAAAGGTAAAAGGCATCCCAAACATTTGGCACACCTACACTCGTCTACACTGCCATGGATGGGAATAGTTCAACCCATCGCTTATCGAGTGCAGTTTTGAAGGCTTGCACTGTTAGCAGGTCGACTATTTCTTTGGGAAGCCGGTTCCAACTGTCGACTATCCTATTGCTGAAAAAGTGCTTCCTCGTGTTTAGTCGACACCTCTGTTTCGTGGGCTTGAGCTCATGATATCTAGTGCCGTGTTGAGGAGCTAATATGAAGAGACTGTCCGCTCCTATCCCCAATATTCCCTTCATGATTTTGAAGGTTTCTATTAGGTCTCCGCGCAGTCTCCTTCTTTCTAATTAGAAAAGCCCTGGAGCCTCTAGTCTTTCCTCTGTTTTCCCCTCTGGCCCTCAACCATTCTGGTGGCCAATCTCTGCACTTTCTCTAAACAGGTAGCATCCTTCTTGAATAAGGGTGTTAAAGCCTGTACACAATACTCTAGGTGTGGTCTGACTATGGCCTTATAAACGGCAATGAAGACTTTCGGTCGTCTGCACGTTAGAACCGACTGTAGTCTACATAATTCCCTCTAGCCCTGCGCTACTGAAAATTGATCAAATCACTTAAAGTTGTCTGATATCATGACCTTCAAGTCCTTAACCCTAGTAGCGGGTTCGAGAACGAATTGGTGCTCTTTCCAGTGAACTATCATTCTGTCAAAGGCCCCGGGAAGGGGGGCACAGGAATCTTGGTAGCGTTGAGACCTAGGTCCCATTCCTTTGCCCTTCTAGCTAGCTGCTCTAAATCTCGCTCCAGATCACTTCTCCCTTTCGAACCAACCACTTTGACGTCATCTGCAAAAATGTAGCACGATGAGGTGCTTGACAATTCGTTTATGTAGAGAAGGAATGGAAGCGGTCCTAACACTGAGCCTTGTGGAACTCCGCTAGTCAGCCGAACTGGTATGAACCTGTTCTCACCAACCTTCACACAGAATAATCTTTGTGAGAGAAAGGCACTTATCCACCTGTCCCACTGTCCTTGGATTTGGAATTGTGGATTGCCCAAGTTGTCAAAAATGGCAGCCAAGGGCCCACAAAGCGGCTTGTAAAGGATTCCCTATTGTCGAAGCATACGTAGGCGAACGATACGCCCACAGTGCAGGAACCTGGACTCAAATTGCCATCAGCCGCAAGTCCTGTGGCCTGACCTGACCTGACCATACCTTCATATCTTCGAACAAAAACCAAGAAAACGATCACAGTTATCGTGGTCGAGTTCAGCCACAGTGCAACATTATGGCACTGTCGTGCTCAGGCGTATATGAACAAGAGATGTAAATATGTCACCGGGGTAGCCCGCGACATTCCTCTGCATGTAAGAAAATCTGATGAAAAACCTGGTGACCTAAAAATAGATAAGAAACTGCAAATGCGTGCCACAGTTAATCTCACACGACTGGATATTGAGAACGTACCACAAATCTATCTCAAAAAGGACAAGAATCTACGCTTCGCCCCACTAGTCGCCAGTAGTCCCGAGGCAAGCTTCGCCGACATAACCAGAAATGGACCAACGATAGCCGGGGTCTTCAACCGCAAGTTATTATCACCTATTAAACCATCCCACGCTCCAGCAAAGGAGGTCGAAGGCACAATCAAGGTGCCCCACCATTCGGCCAATAGCTGGGATGAATGGGATACTTGATAATCCACCACCTAGGAAAATCCCCTCAGCTCATACCCCGGCGCAACCTAAACCTTGTTCTCCAAAACTAAAAACCAAAGAAACAATCTCTCTGCGCCAAAACCCGAAATGTTGGCAAGCGTCGCTTGGTTGCTTTTAGAGCGAATGTCAAGACCGGACGGTAAGAAAAGTAAGATACGCCAACCCCCTTTTCTGTCCCCAGTAGATTTCTCTCGCCCACCAGACAGAGTAAAGCCCCAGAAAACTGGTAAGTCAATCTCGCCAGCACGCAACATGGATACCAGACATATGGCACCACCCTCCAAGAATCTCTCACGGG